AGAAGACTCAGACTTCCTCAGAAACTACAAAAACAGGTTTTCTTTGGCATGCAAATGTGGTGGTTGTGCTTCCTTCTGCTAACCTGGTATAACATAGCTGCACATCATTGCATCAGAACAGATGCTTCTCCAGCCTCCTGTGGATTATGAATCACAGATTATTTATAGTCAGAGTTCCTCAAAGCGGGTAGGAATGGATCGGGAGCAATGGCAGTACATAGGGCTGCATACTCCTTCTGATTAATAAGCTTCTAATAGGGCTAATTTGCACAGGAAGGATCTTAACTTTGCAACATTTAAACATCATCTGCTCACTCTTTGGCAGTGAAGTAGCTGACATGCTGTATCTGAGGCCGTCTACACGTGTATTCGTATTGCATTCAAGGGACAGTACCAAGAAACAGGTTCTTTCAAGACCTTCTACCAATATGAAGCATATAAGTCTGTGACAAGTGACATTATAGAAGGCCATGTGACTTTTAACTGCTTGCATTAGATCTTTCTGATTTCCCCAGTGCCCTTCCTTTGTTCGATTAATACGATTTGATTTCAAGCAGTGTATCGGAAGGCATAATTTAGAGTGAGTATTCTAGGGACAGTCTGAGAGTTTTGCCACAGAACTTCCAATAAAATAACACTGTTTCATTTTACCTTCCTATGCTTTTTCCTGCCCTCCTTCTCTCTCCTCTCCTTCCATTCCCATCCATTCCCTCCCTTCATCACACCTCCCTCAAGTACAATGCTTGACATAGAGATCTGAGTACCTACTGTGTTCCTTCAAACCAAGGAGCACATGTGCACTTTATTTGAATAGCAATGAGGCAGAGTCAAAGGAGAAAAAAATCCATTGTATTTTTTTTACTACAATGTTGCACTGAAATCTGTTGCTCAGTTCCACCGTACCTCTCTTGAACAGCCTTGCTTTGTTCTGCAGAAAGAGATCGTACTTCAGTAAATGGCTTTTGTAAGGCTTTGGCATACCAATTCCTCATACATCATATGATTATGAAGGATCTACTTTCTCTGTTTTAATTTGTGTTGAAGTTCTGGAAACACTTGTTATAATGAACTAATAAACTGTATTATTGTGCCTACATTGTTTGAATGTCCAGGGTTTGTATTTTTATTTTGAACTCTTCCTTTTGAATTTCAAGACAAGTGGAAGCATGGGCTATGTTTCGTATACTATAAAGAATCATTTATGCATCTTGGACATAGAATCACCTTTACTACATTTTATTTTGCTGCAATATTTGAATTCTGTTTTACTTCCCAGACAATTACTCCAAATCTCAATGTAACTGATGATATGACTAACCTAGAACAAGACCACAGAGTGGTAGTGGCTTTTGAATGAAAAAAAAATTGAATAGAGGAGCTGGAATCTGGGCTTAGTCCTGGGCTTCAAGCGATTTCAAAGGACTTTTTATGTCCTTTGAATGAGTTAACATTTTGCCACGCTATAGAAGCTTGTAAAGTAGTTTGAGATCATTAGATGGGGAAGGAAAAAAAAAAAAAAAAAACAAAATCTTGAGTTGAAAGTATTATTATCTTGATAATTTCAAATGGGTATTGTCACGCAAGTGATTTCAGCAAGGTTCCATCATCTGCAACAATTTTAGAGGTTTCCAATTCAGCTAATTGTCTCCATGCTAACTTTAGCGCTAATGTGAGAGAGGCGTTCTGCTATTCAGTCCTGTCAAGACAAGGAATTTCTGAATGTACATAAAGAGATCTTCAAGTCTCTGGGGAATATTCATGTTGAAAAGTATGAGACCTAGTGTGTTTAGTCAGCTCCAGGCGTAGGTATTATCTGAGTCAACAGATTCAGGTTTATATCTTGGGCTTCAGTCACATAATGATGTGATTACAGACTTTTCTGCATGTGGCAAAACTGATTTAAGAGGTTTTATATCTTGCTGAAGCCCTTAATGGCTTGTTTTCACCCTCTCTTTTCAGTTCACCATTTCCTTGTTAGAGCTAATGTTAACGTTTTTGGAGCTGGTTGATAAACTGGGTCACTGAAACCATCCACTATAAAAGTTTTAGGGTAGGTAGGTCCTGCACGTGTCTTGGGGCAATCCCAAGAACAGCTACAGGCTGGACAGAGACTGAATTGAGAGCAGCCCTGAGGAGAAGGACCTTGGGAGTGCTGGTTGTCGAGAAGCTCCCTGTGACCTGGTAGTGTGCTCTTGTATCCCAGAAAGGCAACCCTGGAAGTGTTTAAAGCCAGGTTATACACGGCTTGGAGTAGGCCAATCTAGTGGAAGGTGTCCTTGAGTTGGCAAGGGGTTGGAAGTAGATGGTCTGTAAGGTCCCTTCCAACCTAACTGTTCTATGATTCTGTGACATGCTTGTGAGATGGGCTGATGCCAACCTTATGAAGTTTAACCATGACAAGTGCAAGGGCCTACACCTGGGTCGGAGCAATCCCAGACACAGCTACAGGTTGGGCAGAGAAGAGATTCAGAGCAGCCCTGCAGAGAAGGACTTGGGGGTGTTGATCAATGAGAAAATGAACATGAGCCAGCAGTGTGTGCTTGCAGCCCAGAAAGCCAACCGTATCCTGGGCTGCATCAAAAGGAGTGTGACCAGCAGGTCGAAGGAGGTGATCCTGCCCCTCTACTCTGCTCTCGTGAGATTTCACTTGGAGTACTGTGCACAGTTCTGGTGTCCTCAACATAAAGGTCATGGAACTTTTGGAACAAGTCCAGAGAAGAGCCACGAGGGTGATCAGGGACTGGAGCATCTCCCGTATGAAGACAGGCTGAGAAAGTTGGGGCTGTTCAGCCTGGAGAAGAGAAGGCTGCATGGAGACCTCATAGCAGCTTTCCAGTATCTGAAGGGGGCCTATACGGATGCTGGGAATGGACTATTCATTAGGGAATGTACTGAAACGACAAGGGATAACAGGTAAAACTTAAACAGGGGAAGTTTAGATTGGAAATAAGGAAGAAGTTCTTTACTGTTAGAGTGGTGAGGCACTGGAATGGGTTGTCCAGGGAGGTTGTGAATGCTCCATCCCTGGCGGTGTTCAAGTCCAGGTTGGACGAGGCCTTGGGTGACTTGGTTTAGTGGGAGGTATCCCTGCCCATGGCAGGGGGGTTGGAACTCGATGGTCCTTTCCAGCCCTAACTATTCTATGATTCTATGGTTCTATATAACTGCCTAACTTACATCAAGTCAGAGGCTGCAGAAGATTCCATTGTCATGCTGCTCCTGATAAAATTATTCTCTGGGCAGGAAAGAATTGAAGAGCAATTGTTCCTTAATTGTTTAGGCCATGCTTCTACCTTGGGGTTTTGGACATGCTAACTCTTCACTATTTCTTTGTGTATCTAGTTCTTTTGGTTATAAGCTTCAGGACAGAGCAGATAGCAGACAGAACTGGAGTCTACTTCCCCTCCAAAATCCCAGGCTTCTTGTCAGAGGGGTTTCGGGACTGAGTTCAATCAAGGATGAGCAGGTGGAACTGAAAATGTTTTGAGCTCTGCAGTTGACTTAAATATATGCAGAGTGCTCTTCTAGACATTCATGTTGAGTACACCTACATGTTGCTTACATGTTACATGGGCCCATGTAACATGATTAACTGGAAGCTTCATGATGGTTTAGTTATCTCAGAGAAAGGCATCTGATACACACCCATTTCACTTTTAAGTTCTCTTGCCTGAATTTGGCTCTTGGATAGTGTTAAAGTCCATTTAGTCTTTTGACATGGAATTGGACTTAATGAAAATATCCTTGCAGCAGTGTTTGTTGAGGGTGATCATGAAGTTTTATTTTTAATGTGTTTTCTTAAATGACAAGTACCCTATAACTATTTGTTGCTTCATTACATAACAAATATATATATCTCATTTTAGCTGGATTCAAGTCTGTAAAATAGGCACAAGTATTAATGTTTCATACCAACAAGATTTTCCTTGTCTTGTCCTTTTTATGCATATTTTACAGTACATAATACAAACTTTTTGCATCCATAGTATGAGACTGGGCTAGGCAGATCTTTGCTGACCTTCATTATGGCTGTTCTTGTATCCTAGTAAGTCCTTAAATAATGATAAATAAGTTTAAATAATGATCTAAAGTGTCACATTGTTTCTTGGTTATGAGGAGGTACAATTTCATTTCAATTCCATGAATACAAAATTTTTCCCATAGGGTAGGCTGAAGACTTGATCGCAGTGTTACAAGAGAGGGATTTTTGAGTTTTTTGTTTGAACCTGTCTCTGACGTCAGAAAATTGCTTAATCTCTCTGTAAACTAGATTTAACAGTGGTTCATTTGATGCTTATGGTGCGATTAATAATTATTAATATTTGTAGAATGAATTGCATGTATGTGTGTGTTTGATATTGTTACACTGAATAGGCTTTAAATGGAAAAATACCTAGAGGCAGATACAGCAACTGCAACTAGCAATGAATGTGCGTAAAGTCAGATGCACGGATTGTATAAAATCATGAGCAAGAAACAATGCTAATGCTGATAGAGCTTATGGTATATATCATTGTTATGGACCATAAGGAGATAAGCCAGTATAAATTTATTCCCAGTTGTGTACTCTTCAAAAATCTCTTGTTGACTGCTGTAAATTCTATTTTAAATGTTGCACTTTTCTGTAGGTAGCAGTAATTAAAAGAACGCAAGCATCTGTATGTGCTGCATGTGCACCAATGGAGGTAACAAAGGATTCCTTTAGTTTAAACAATCATATATTGAGGTTTGAATTACCTTTTAAATACTTAAATTGTCAAGCAAGCATTTTGTGCAGGAAGGGTTTTCAGTATATAATTCCCAAAGGTAAGTCGATTAAAGCAGCAACACTTTCCTGAATTTGAATCTCTAGATCAACTGTGTTTTTCCTAGTTGTACGTTTTCCTTTTGTGCATGTATTTCAAATGTTAATAAAGTTTTCATCTACAAAAGGTTCAGAATTGACAGAACAAAACTCTTCCTTTTTAAATCATGACAACTACTACTGTTTCTGTCTGCAGGTAGTGGAGGACATGCTAGAGGACGAGGAAGAAGAGGATGACAGAGATGACAAGGTAATTATCTTTCCTAGCACTTGGGTGACTGCGGAGGGGAAAATTTAGACGTGACACTGTTTTTACAGACAGTTAAAAAAGGAGTTGAAGTGTTTTAGTCCAGAATATCGGACAGAGCTGTTTATCATCCTAACAATGCTACAGTGCATTGCAGGAAAGGACGGAGGACTATAAATCCTGCTTTTCTGAGATCTTTTTTTTCTTGGACCAAAGCTGGACCATTTTTTCTGCCAGGAACAAAAATAATGCAGCCTGTCTGGAACTTGATAGCTCTTATGAAGATAACTGCAGTGACAACTGTTTTTGAAGGACAAAAATTTGTCCTGAGTATTACAAATAGGGCTGCACTTTAGGGGGAAAATGGTGTGGCAATAGCAACTCCATACTGGTTAAAGTGGGATATTGACATGTATAATTTTCAAGGAATGACTTGCCAGAATGGCTGAAATGTCTTGCACACTGTTTGACATTTAAATAATCACAATGCTTATAGACATCAACTTGATTTGAAGTTGGCATTGTGGCCCAGCAAGCCAGAATTCTGATGCAGATCATTCAGCTATTTGAGCAAATGTGGTTCTGTTTGGAGGCGGCTGGTTGGGTTGAGGATTGCAACCACAGTAAATAACAGCTCATTTTCACATCTTATTGAGCCAAGCTATGGGACTGCTTGGATTGCTTGTCCCCCAGGGAGAGGGAAAAGCCAGAGAAAAGAAATTAGAATGACCTTGCATCACTGAAGCAATGTCTGATGCTGGCAGGACAGCTTTCTGGTGAGACGAGTACGGTGAAGAAAGCCCCATTGTTGCTGGTATTTTCATACCAGGAAGGTGATATTTGTGGAAGAAAAGGGAAAAAAAATATAATTTTACAAGAACTCTGAGTTAAAATACAGATGATTTTGACCTTCACAGATGTTACCACACTTCTGTTGTAGTACAGCAATGATTTTTTTTCTTTTTTTTTCAAGAGGAGAAAAGGAGTGTATCTTAATTTATGGCCTTGACCTTTGTTTCTAGTTGAGATGTACAGTTACATACCACTGTAAGAACTCATATGCTGGCAGCAGCTTTTGAAATGTCAGAAAACTCACTGTGATTAGTTAATCCTCTGAATGATTATTTTTCTGTTAGCTAACACCTAAGATCTGAGAGATGATAAAAAAGGGGTATTTTGCTCATTGCATTGCCAGCTCAAATATTTTACAATTGACAGAAAGATATTATGTGTTATTCTTTTATACATCGCTTAAATTGTTAGCTACATCATTTGTGAATCAGCAAACACTGTAGTAAGAAAACCTTCTTTTACAAAACACATATGTGCTGGTTTTTAACATTAAATGATATGAGCATACACTTCTGGCAATAAAATACATGATTTATTGCAAAGGTCAGTCATGTAGCTGTGGAAAGCTTGTATTTTAACTCAACATGCTGGCTTTTCTGATAAACACTGATCTGCCATCCATTTGAGGTCATTTTCTCTCGTTTCTCCCTCCTTTATTATTAGAGCTGGTGCAAAAGTATCATCCCAGTAATGTGTGTATTCCTGGATATTTTAATCACTGTGATTAGTTCACAAAGAGTAGTGTTTGATTGCTTGCAGTTTAAGCCAGCCTATGTACTTACTGCATAGTGGAAAATGCTAAACAAACTCGTTCTAAAGGGAAGATGAGGGAGGGGGTCAGCTCTCTCTTTTCCTCCCAGGTTCCCAGGTGACTAGCAGATGGCGGGTAAAACATACTCAATTAGAAATATCAGTGTGGGTTTCAATGTTGTGATCTAATATTCAGCTTTCTCAAGTTGACACAAAAGTTCAAAAAACATTTTTCTAGATCTAGTTAGCAAGGTTGAATAAAAGTGAGTACTGACATTACCGTGTGCATTCAGTGAGCCCTTTTACTGAATATTTAAGAGCTGTCTTTCTATACAGAAGGTGTTTAGGTTGATTTTTATAAATTCAAAGCTGTCTTCATCATTGCAAACATTTTGAGTTCTCATGATTGAATATTCTCTTTGAATGGAAAAAGAAAATCACAGTTTTTAAAGTAAGCATGTATGGACTACTGTGTACATTCAGTACTCTGCACAGTGGGCATTATTTTGCCCTGGGTGAAACTGTAAAACATCAACATATTGTTAGGACTGAACTGTTTGTTGTTAGAAAATGGTAGGGTGTTTTTTTGTGGTGTATGAGACATACTGTTAATTACTGCTGTCCTTCTTACATCTTTTTGTGAAAGTGGAAGGGTGCAGTTTCCTATTATTTTATTTCATATATGTTTTCTTAAAGCCCTGTCCAAAATGGAGTTTTGTGAGAAAACATATGTATGTTTTGTAGCACCACCTGGTAGTGGCCTCTGGCTTTTCCTATTTCTTTTTTTTTTCATATGGTATAATAGAAAATTCAGGTAAATGGGTCTTCTTATGCGATAAAAGTAAAAAGATTAATAAATGTGCCAAAGCCTCGCTTTAACTGAAACTGAAGCATATGTTGCAAGTATGTAAAATACATCCCAGATGTCTGACCATGGCCAGCGTCTTTGCTTTCCCTGATAATCACAAGGCAGCTATTAGTCCTGTAACCTTTGGATTTAACAGTAAATGGGCTATTACATGGTGCAGAACTGGAGCACCTGTTTTCCATTCAGTAAAGACCCCTTGCAGGCTTTACCTAAGCCTATCCATATGTTTTCACTTAGCAGATTGCTGGGCGATTATGAAAAGTGTCTTTCTTTAGAGCCAGCTTAGATATTAGTCACTTGCTCACAGTGAAAGGGCAACTTTTTGGCTACTTGATGAGGTCCACTTGGGCATGCACTGATGTAAGTTATGGGACGTGTGATGGAGGGACGTTGCTCAACAACCCAAAGTTGCAGAGCTACAGGAGTAATAAACTGGGCATGATGAATGCTCAAGTGTATGCAATTAGTTAAAATAATGCATTTTATTAATATTAGTGGTGTGTAATACTGAGAGGAGTTTGACAAAGTGGATCTGCCTTTACCACATTATTTAGTATCATTTCAATGTTAGGGATTTTAGTGACTTCTTTTTCACCTTCTGCTGTATGTTAAGGTAGACAGGACTATCAATTTAAGGTAGCAGGAAGTTGTTTTGGTTTGGTTTTTTTTTTTAGGTTTCTAACTGGAGAATATTAACTTTCATGTTCAGTTACAATATGACTAATAAATTAAGATGGCAGGCACACTTCTTATGTCAGTTACAAAGTGGTGCTTAGCAGCTGAACACTTTTTTTTTCCTAATTTTATTTCTTTGTCCTACTATGTATTTAGGAACTGTCCATAATTTAATACCTTTTTTTTTTCCAAGAAATGACACTAGATTCTGCATTCCATATGTTCTGTACCGCTTGCAAAACCTATGCCAACGACAGATTTACAGTTTAATCTGATTTCACTCCTGTCTCTTTTTTTTGTTGTTGGTTTCTTTTGGCTCCCTTCCAAACACTAGCTTCACACTATCTTACCAAATAACGGTCACTTAAATTCCATGAAGTCAAGTTATCAACAAGCTATCAAAAGGATTTTCACACAGTTATGTTATAATAATGTAGTGGTCAGTATGCATAATCTACATACATAGGATTTTAATTTGTCTTTTAAGAAGTAATTTACTCATTTAACAAGCTCCAGGTAAGATTTCAGATGATCACAAAGAATCTCAATTCATCATTTTCTGGGAAGCCCTCAGCATGCCACAGAATTGGGCCAGTGAGCAATGCTACTATTGCAGATTTAAGTGGAAGAAAATGCATGGTACAAGCACTATTTTATTTTACCTTTTTATTAACAGTAATAATATTTTATTAATAGAAAATATTCAAATCATTTGCACCCTTCACTCTCTCTATAGGCTTTTGTTCTTTGGAAAATTCTTTGCAGTTCTGAGTCAGTGTTACTACCTTTCAAGATAACTAGAAGATTTTATAATGAACAATAGTTGAGTCAAATTAAATTACATTTTAGAGCTGTTAATAATCCTTCTGAGAAGTATGAACTTTGTTTTCAGACCAAGATATGTTCCTAGCCTGTCTTAGAAGCATGCCCTGCCTTTTGCCAAGATGATGAGGAGGAAGAAAGATAACTCCAATGTAGGCTATATTTTTATATCCTATAACAGAGAAGATTGTAGGCTATTGTAGTGGCAGTTATTTCCTATAAAATAAATGGTAGGAAAACAATAAAGAAATAGAGAGTGGAGTGAGGAGAAAACTCTAGAATGAATAAATCCATAGATTCACCTTTAGCTTGATTCCACCATTAAATCCTACATGAATGTAGCACATAAATACCAACTGTAAATTAAAACTTAGTAGCTTTCCGTGAAAACTGTAACTTCATATGAAACTGCTGTTCCTTAAAAGCTTATCTAGGTTATGTTTACTTATCAAACAAGCCTACAACAGGGCAACCTACAGTACATAGCTGCAGAGGTCAAACTTGTCAGTGCAGTTTGGTTTCAGCTCAGCTTAGTTATTCATATAGAGGTGGTGATAGAAGGCATGTGATTTTTATCAAAATTGTGCATAATAGGAAGAAATGACGGTGTAGACTGCTTCAACTGATACACTGGGTATCAGCTGTGGCTGTTTCTGGTCATTGGATCACCCCAAAGTGACTTTTGCCTGGATGTACCTTGGATCATGTGGAGCCTTTCCACCAGAACTTCCACAAAGAGCAGTTTTCACCCTGATTCATTCTGGGGCATGGGATATGCTTTGTGATCAAAGTGTACATCTTTGAAGACATGTGACTTGGACAGCCTTCTGAGCAGCTTAGTTTTAATGAGATCAGACGTCTTCATCCTGGTGCAGTCCTGAATACTGTCAAAATTAGTGGAGTAAAATGAGTATTACTGACAAGGAGAATCTGAGATTTACGTACGAAGTTTGGCACTCAAGGAAGTGTATGTGTGAGATGATCCCTGGGGGACTTTGGGTCTAAAAACTGTTGAATGAATTACACCCATTCATGT